ATCATATTCACATTCAGGCAATCAATCTTTATTTTCACATATATACAGCAGCCTATCTTCTAAATATGGTAATGTATATCTCTAGTCTCTACACGTCTTTCCCAGCCCTAAACTTGACGGCACCGGCCACAAGAAAGCTAACATTATTTTCCAAATTGATCAGGCTTATTTTGCATCTCGAACTTCTTTTTTATAAATCTGATTATAACACTAACTCCATCCATTAACTAGTTAATAAGCACACAAAATATACATTTGTTTTTGGCCGTACATCGAATCACCCACTAAAAATATTTCAAGATTTTTGTGTCATCTGCCAGCTTTGACGTTTTCCTTATTTAGTGACTCCGCATCTAAGAATCTTTGGAATACACCACAATAGGGTCAGTAGATACTTGAGATTAACCCATTTTCTCTACTTTTTGTCAAATGATTCTCGTAACGTTCGAGGCTAATTAAGTTTGCAATATGTTATATTGATACATATTCACTACAAGAAAACAAACGTTCCCAATGAAAATAAAACATCAAAAATCTGTCAAAAATGAGGGTTGTCGACAAATTCCCAACAAAACCATCTATAGAGACTAGGTCATCAGGAAAAAAAACCATCAAATATCTACAGACATCCTGAAGAACTCCCAACTGACATATTTCCAAAGGGAATGTCCATGGGAACCAACGTCGAGAATTTCCAAATATCGTCACCATTGGTAATTCCTGACCACATTTTCCTATCAGTAATTCCCAATCATCTATTCACGTCAAAAATTCTCGACCACTAACCGCGTCAAGATTCCCTACCACTGTCTACCGTCAAGAATTCCGACCACTGTCTGCCGTCGGAAATTCTCAACCACACTAATCTGTCAGGGAATTTTCATTCACATAATTTAATTGAAAATTCCCAACCACTATAGTCCGTCAAGAGGGACACCCCCGATCTGGTCTAAGTACAAGTTGACTCAACCGGCTGTGCAACAGTCAAACAAGAACATGCACAACCAATCACTAGTAACTTAAACCAAACCAAAGAAGCCACAATGTGCACATAAACGATTAACTCAAAGTTCCCGGAATAAATCCATTCCACCTGATTTCGTTGTGCATTCCTGTCCGTCCGATTCCAACAGTGTGAAATCATCAATGGAGTTACCATTGTTTGTTGTAATCTAATAATAATAAACACTAATTAATAGTTAATAGATATTAATAAAATAATATATGAATAATATTTATAAAACTCACTATCTGAAGTTCATAAGAAGGTAAATTGGTCGATTTCAGGTTTTGGACATAAGATCTTTTCCTGTCACGAACGCTACGCCGAAATTTGTTTTTATCTGTCTCTCCGTTTTCTGTTTTGACTAATGCTTCTTCACAACCTACCAAACAGCCAGATTTATGTGTTTCAACACTTTCTTAACCTCCCATTTCTGCTTCCACTCATTGATTTGACTGCTATAGTGGTCACTTATGTGGTAGTTGAAATCATTTTTCACTGTCTCTTTCAATCTCGAATTCCAAGTGATCTCTTGCTAAAAAAACAAATAAATAAATGAGGTAATAAAAAAATATATAAAGTTTAAATCATCAAATTAATTAATTGGAAAACTTTTGCAAACAAATTTGTTAAACTATTGATTGCACTCAGAAGAAGGAATGTCACTGTAATTTGAATACCCATACTTCATCACATACTGCTCCATCCTAAGAATGCTTTTGCTGGTGCACCTGTATAACAATTTAAACCTACGAAACCAAAATTAAACACAATTAGTAGTAAATATTGGATATAAAACAAGGAAAATACTGTTAATATGAAAGCTTACCAAGTAGTGTTTGGAACTTTCTTGTAATAAGGATGGAAACGCTTGAGGGATTCTCGACCAGGTTGCTTAACCAGCTCCTCCACAGTCCTCATCATAATCGGCAATTCATGTGTTGAACCTTCAGAAGGTTCAACTTCTCCAGAAGAAGTACTGCTACCGCTCTGAGATACAAGACAACGTCATTGTGAAGGAGTCCGATACCTAAAAAAAAATTGGTTATTTTTTAATGTAAATTTTCAATGAAATAACTAAGCATTCTTTTTAAAAACTAATATTAAAAAATTGAAACTATTATAAACATATTAGAAATATAAATTAAAAAGAACGTTGTAAGAAAAGTTTTGAAAATTTGGGAAACTTTCTTTTTATAAAATGGTTTGTATAAAATGTTTTATAGTTTTTGTCATGTACTGATAAAATAAGAAGAATATTTTTTAAAAAATATTAAAATTATTTATAATGTAAGTTTTCACATATGTCTGGCGATCTTTCAGCATCGAAATTTGTCAACCGTTCCACCAATTATCCACCTCTTACTTCAAAAGGTAGACTGTCAAAGTCTCAATACTTTGATTGGAAATGCTTCTAACACCATGAGTTCTTTAATACCATATGTGTATTATTTCGTAAGTAAATTTTTATTTGGATCCATATGAGACTGATTCATTCAAGAACGAAAATAAATAGGAATAATTTTTTTGTTTTTACTTTGTTGTGAGTTGTGAATGAATCAGGGGGAGATGTATTTATAGAGAAATCTAGGCGAATTCTTGATGCAAAAAATCTGTCGGGAATATTCAACTTTTCAAATGGTTTAAGTAATCATGACAGATGCTTAATGGATGTTGTGTTTTGTCAAGAATCCATCAAGAATTATAATATATATGTAACAAATAGTTTTTCACTACGGAATTTCCTCATAAATATCTCGACGAATATATTTCTATGGAAATCCATCGAGAATTCCAACGAAATTTCGACAGATTTGTATCTCTGATGAATTTTCATTAAAATTGTGTGAGTACTCTAACAGATTTTGTTTGTCTGAAATCAAAGTGTTTTCTTGTAGTAACCTACCGGTTTAGTGAAAATACGTTAGAAGATAAACATTATACATTTCATAACAGAGACGTTTGAATGTCATAAATTCTTACAGTCTTTGCATATCTTTTACTTTAGCATCTTTTCTTCATTTATTATATTTGTTCATGAGCTTACTGAAACGCTACGTACTTTTCCATGAACAAATATATGATGCAATTTTCAATTATTTTATTTTGAGCAAAGAAGAAAGAGGAAAAGGATTATAATAACATCTCCAAATAGAGATTTTGCAATTTTTAAACCAAGATATGACAAGAATGAAAGTAAGAAATTCTGATATGAGGACGTACGAGATATTCATGAAATAATCTTAATAAGTGTTATTTTTATTAGCCTATTGTTACTAAAATTTAAATAAATAATATCATATCCAACTATACTTTTTATTTAAAATCTCTGTAAGAATTACAGGGTGGCGGTAGTCCATAAATAAAAAAAAATGTTACATTACAAGTCTAAACGAAAGTAAAAAAAAAATAATTATTAAAAAAACAACTACAAAAATGCCTTTAGTTAATCTTTTTTTTTTTGAACTCTGCCATTAGTTAATCATGTGATGGAACAAAGGTAAAACAAAAACGATCCTTTAATAGATTACCATATATATATATATATATATATATATCTGTTGAACAAAAAAATAGATATATAACTTTGATATTATAGTAAAAACAATATATGATGTATATTTTAGTGTTACATATTGTGTAATTTTATAACTTATCATTAAGGTGACTTATTCAATATTATTAATAATGGCTTTTTATATATAATTTCATTTTTATTATATACTAATATATTTCGATTTTGGTTTAAGAAATTTATAATCTGAAATTATCAAATAGAGAATCTCTTTTAAAATATGATTTTCATTTTCTAACGCTTGCATACTATATATTTTAATACTTATTAAGTAATATTATAGAAATGGTATATGCTTAGGACAGTTTATATCATATGGCGTTTAAAAAATATACAGTAACATCTATCTTTTAGTATATTGCAAAGTTTTATAACTAAAACCGCTGTTCTGTTTAATCTTCCAATATATTTCCAGTATAGAACATTTGATTTAATTTTATTTTTATCTTAAGTTTGGTCAAAATAATTTTTCGACAAATAAAAATATTTATTTAAAAAAATTCTATAGAATCTTGATTATGCACATATTGTACATTGGATGATCAAAATGTATTGTAGACAGTAAGAAAATCTGAATTAATTATGAAGACATGTTATTTTAGTAAATTTTATGGATATATAATTCTTTTTAAATTAATTCATTATTTTATTATTTGAATTTATTGCTAAGATTTTTTATATATTTCTCAACGAATTTTTTATCATTTAAAATAATCATTAAATAACATGTTAACTAAGTGTTAATTATATATTATTATATTTTGTGTCCAAAATTAGAACAAATTTAATATCATACAGAATATAAATACAAAATTTAAAACAGCATAGTATTTTTTCGTTTTATAATAAAATTTTGATTAACATTAATTTGTATTAATATTCTACTACGAATTAAGTAAATCTCAATGCATTATTTTATTGTAAGATATATGAATTTTAGTTAGATTTTTTATTTTTTTCAATAGATTTATTATAATTAATATAAAATTGTAATCAAAATTGAATTACTATTAACTGATTTAACTGATTAATGCCAATAATCAAATAAGTCATCAAGTAATTAATGAAATGATCTTAGTATAACTTTTGCACTGTATATTTTTTTAGTGATATTACTTTAATATATTATTTTAGTATCTTTTTATATGATGTTTTATGTTAGTGCACAAAGATTAATACATTTATAATTTTTTTTAAAAAATATATATAAAGCTATAATCTTAAAAACATTCAACCAATTATAAAAAAATTGTAAAATTTGAATAGATGAACAGTTTCTAATAAAATTAAAATTAACTTTAAAATCTCAAAATATTTTATATTTTGAAATAACATAACTCTTTAAAAACATCGTATAAAAAGAAACTAAGGGAGTATTAGAAGAATTTGACGTCAGTAAGACCAACGACGAATATTCTTAAACTCGCGACCAAAGAAAAGAAAACAAATCTAGGTTAAAGCATCAAAAACTCTCTCCGACAAGACATGCTTTCCACCATTACAGTTCTTTCTCTTTCATAAAAATAAATTTTTCTCTCTTCCAAAAATCTCTCCTTTATCCCCGCAAGAAAAAATAAACTCACAGTCGCCGCTAATGTCGCCGCCGACGGAGTATCACGGCTCCTTCCTGAGCCGAATCAGCTTCCGCCGCAACCAGATCGTCTCAATGGACGTCAACAACGAGCAAGAGCTCGAAGAACTCGAGTCGTTCCAGAACCACGTGTCCGAGCGTTTCTCAGAGTTCATCTCTCCATCGCCGCCGTCTGATCCGTTCCTCTCGATCCCTTGGCTACAGAACCTCCTCAGCGTTTTCACGTCCTGCGAAACAGAGTTCAAAGGAGTCCTCATTGCCACGTTTCAGATCTCGAAAACGCCGTCGTTAGAGAGGCTTTTGTCGGAAATGCTTGATCGGATCTTAAAGGCGCTTGATATCTGTAACGCCGTCGTTAACGGCATTGAATCCGTCAAACAGAGCCGACTTCTAGCGGAGATTGTTAAGGATACAGAATATTACACATTCAATGTCTCCTTTACATATACGGAACTTTCTGTATTTAGCTAAACCTAGTTCTCCTTGATGTATCGTATATATACTCTTGTAATGTCAGCCTTGAATAATAAGAAAATATCTTCACCTTACATGGTATCAGAGCGGCCGATACCCTAAACCTGTTCTTCTCTTTTCTCGACTGCAACTAATCTATCCCACATCTCTTCTCTCTCTCACTCTCCACACCTTCATTCCTTTGTCTTTCTCAGCCTCCGACATCATGCCTGCACCCACAGCCGAACTAGTGGATGCTACCATCCCCTCTCTTCTCCACATCAATATGACTAACGTCACAAAATTGTCTTCAAGCAACTACATGATGTGGAGTTTACAAGTCAGAGCCTTACTAGATGGCTATGACCTAGCTGCTTTCATTGACCCTACTTCACGACCACCACCCATCACCACTGTTGTCAATGAAACACCAACCGCAAATCCAGATCACACCAAGTGGACGAGACAAGATCGCCTGATCTACAGTGGCCTCATTGGATCTATGACTGAAACCGTACAACCTCTTGTCTCAACGTGCAAAACCTCAGCAGAAATATGGAGCACTCTCGCTGCTACATACAACAAACCAAGTCGTGGACATATTCAGCAACTCAGGCTTCAACTAAAACAATGGGAAAAAGGAACGAAAACTATTGATGAATATGTTCAAGGATTCATCACTCGCTTTGATCAGCTGGCCCTACTAGGTAAACCTGTTGACAGTGAGGATCAACTTGAATATATTCTTGGTGGCTTACCTGAGGAGTACAAGAATATTTCCGATCAACTAGAAGGTAGAGATGTGACACCGTCACTTTCCGAAGTTCATGAGAAACTCTTGAACAGAGAAGCTAAACTTCTAACTCTCACCAACACTACTTCGGTGCTCCCTATTACTGCAAATACAGCCTCTCACAACCCTCCAGCTCGTCAACAGCAACACACTCAGCGTCAGCCACAAACCTGGAACAAGAACCACAACAACTCAAGATACAATAACAGAGACAACAAACAGTCAAGAGGCGGATACCAAGGTGGTCATCAAGGAGGTTACCAAGGAGGTTATCAAGGAGGTTATCAAGGAGGTTACCAAGGCCGCTGTCAGCTGTGTGGAGTGCAAGGACACAGTGCTAGAAGATGCCCTCAACTAGGAGGACGCAACTACAACGCTCAGTCATCTTACCCTCCATGGCAGCCTCGTGCAAACATGGCTGTTACTACTTCTCAGGCAGGAAACGCTTGGCTCATGGACAGTGGGGCGACGCACCACATCACAAGTGATCTCAGCAATCTCGCACTTCACCAACCATATCACGGCGACGACTCTGTCCTAATTGGGGATGGCTCTGGTTTGTCTATTTCTCACACTGGTTCACTGTCTTTACCTTCCTCTAAACGCAACCTTTTATTAAATAATGTTCTCTGTGTCCCTCACATCCATAAGAACCTCATCTCTGTGTATCGCCTTTGTAACTCTAACAAAGTTTCCGTTGAATTTTTTCCTGCACACTTCCAGGTGAAGGATCTTTACTCGGGAATCCCGTTGCTGCAAGGCAAGACCAACGGGGATCTGTATGAGTGGCCACCCTCCGCATCAACCATAAACTCCTTCTTTGCAACCTCCACAACCAAACCATCTCTTGATCAGTGGCATAACAGGCTAGGCCACCCTTCAGCTGAAGTTCTAAAGACTATTGTTTCTGCTTTCTCAATTCCTTTTTCCAGTACTCTATCTAAAGCGACTTTGTGTTCTGATTGTTCTATTAATAAAAGTCATAAATTACCCTTTTCTAAACACACCATTACCTCAAATCGCCCTCTCCAATACCTTTTCTCTGATGTCTGGTCTTCCCCAATCCTCTCAATAGATAACTACAAATATTACCTCGTCCTCATAGACCACCACACCCGCTACACCTGGCTATATCCATTAAAAACCAAATCCCAAGTTAAAGAAACCTTCATTGCATTCAAAGAGCTTGCTGAGAATCACTTTAGCACCCGCATTGGCACCCTTTACTCAGATAACGGAGGAGAATTTATAGCACTTCGATCATTCCTAATTCAGTCTGGAATTCAACATCTAACGTCTCCCCCACACACTCCGGAACACAACGGAATCGCAGAGAGAAAACACCGTCATATAGTAGAAACTGGCCTCACATTGATGTCTCATGCCGGTATGCCGAAAGCTTATTGGACGTATGCCATAAACACAGCTGTCTACCTCATCAACCGAATGCCTTCACCGGTGACACAAATGCAGTCTCCATTTCAAAAGCTCTTCAACAAACCACCCAACTACTCCAAACTCCGCGTGTTCGGTTGTCTATGCTTCCCCTGGCTACGACCATACACTGCTCACAAGCTCGAGAATCGCTCAACGCCGTGTGTGTTCCTTGGTTACTCCCTCACCCAGAGCGCCTACTTGTGCCTCCAGCCTGCTTCGGGTCGGATTTATGTGTCACGGCATGTCCAATTCGACGAAGCCTCGTTCCCGTTCCACAAAAAGAATCAGACTCCTCCGAACCCTCAATCACCTGTTCCTCAACCTTCTCATCCTCTGGTCTCTCTCATCCCGCTTCCCTTGCCACTCATCAGATCCCCTCATGGCTCTCGAGGATTCCCGGCTCAAGATCCGTCACCGTCGCAGTTGCAGGAACAAGTCAACGACAACAATGGTGAAACGCAAGATGTCTCTAACTCTCAAACAAACCCAATTCCAGGCCCAACACCAATACCAATTACACAGGCCCAATTACAGCCTCATCCCCCTCCACAACAAAGCCCAGCCCATCAACCTTCTCAAGCCCAATCATCAAACCCACTTTCAGAATCTGAACCTCGTCACTCCTCAAACAACGAATCTCAATCCTCACCGCCTTCCTCACCGCAACCTCTCCGTCAACCACCGCCTCCTCCGCAAAACCTTCACCCGATGATCACCCGTCGCAAAAACAACATTAATAAACCTAAACAGAAACTTAACCTATCCGCCATCACCACAAACTCCAAACCCTCTGAACCTCAGACAGTGAATCAGGCCCTAAAAGACAAAATCTGGAGAACTTCGATGTCTCAAGAAATGGACGCGTTCGCCAGAAATCAGACATTTTACCTTGTACCAAGACCACCCAACAAGAACGTCATAGGCTGCAGATGGGTTTATAAAAACAAATACTTTCCATCAGGCTCTCATCGCTCCAGCAAATCCAGACTAGTCGCCAAAGGCTACACACAACAGCTTGGACGAGACTACACAGAGACCTTCAGCCCAGTAATCAAGTCCACCACCATTCGCTTGATCCTCGACATTGCAGTCTCCAAACACTGGCCGATACAACAACTTGATGTGAATAATGCCTTCCTGCAAGGGACATTGGAGGAGGAAGTCTACATGGAACAACCTCCAGGGTTTATAGATCGAGATCATCCGAATCATGTATGTCGCCTCCGAAAAGCAGTATATGGTCTAAAACAAGCGCCTCGCGCTTGGTATATCGAACTCAAGACGTTTCTTCTCAGTCTAGGCTTCAAGAACTCTCTTGCAGACACGTCCTTGTTTGTGTATCAAAACGGCTCTGAGGTTCTCTATCTACTTGTTTATGTAGATGACATCCTCATCACTGGGAACAACACAACAAGACTACAAACGGTTCTCAAACTACTAGCTGATCGCTTCTCTGTTAAAGATGCTGAAGACTTAAACTATTTCTTGGGAATTGAAGCACACCGAACTCCAAAAGGCCTTCACCTCTCGCAGAGAAAATACATATCTGATCTACTGCATCGAATGGGCATGACAGAGGCAAAACCGGTAAGCACTCCCATGGCCTCTACGCCTAAATTGACACTCACATCTGGTCACACTCTGTCTGATCCTAAAACCTATCGCCAACTGGTTGGAAGCCTACAATATCTATCTTTTACCAGACCTGATGTAGCCTTCGCAGTAAACCGGCTGTCCCAATATATGCATCAGCCGACGGAAGCTCACTTGCAAGCAGCTAAACGTGTACTACGCTATCTTGCTGGCACACAAGACCACGGTATTTTTTTCTCTGCGACCAACCCTCTTACTCTACACGCTTATTCAGATGCAGATTGGGCTGGAGACTCAGATGACTACGTCTCCACCAATGCCTACATTGTGTATTTAGGGAAATCACCAGTCTCGTGGTCTGCGAAGAAACAGAGTGGGGTTGCACGTTCCTCGACTGAAGCTGAATATCGATCCGTTGCAAACACCTCAGCAGAGCTACGATGGATTTGCAATCTCTTGACTGAGCTCGGTATTACTTTACACTCTCCTCCAGTTGTGTATTGTGATAATTTAGGTGCAACGTTCCTCTGTGCCAATCCAGTCTTCCACACACGTATGAAGCATGTAGCTTTGGACTATCACTTTATCAGAGGACAAATTCAAAACGGTATGCTTCGTGTTGTCCATATTCACACCAAGGATCAGCTTGCGGACGCGCTAACCAAACCGCTGAATAGAGCTACTTTTCTTCCACTGCGCTTCAAGATTGGAGTTGTTTCACCATCTCCATCTTGAGGGGGCATGTTAAGGATACAGAATATTACACATTCAATGTCTCCTTTACATATACGGAACTTTCTGTATTTAGCTAAACCTAGTTCTCCTTGATGTATCGTATATATACTCTTGTAATGTCAGCCTTGAATAATAAGAAAATATCTTCACCTTACAGAGATTGCCGTAACGGCGCTTAAACAACGCCCGTTATGTAGCGGAAGCGTTCGCAGAGCTAAACGTGCGTTAACAAGCCTCCTCACTGGCTTAAACGTCGATGTGAGAGATAGGAACAGTGGTGGAAGTAGTAAGCGAAGGACTACGTCACGCCACGTCAGCAAGAATTGGTCTGCAGCCAAACAGATTCAGGCGATGGTGGCTAATCTTGTGCTGCCACGTGGAGCAGAAGCTTCTGGACCGGCGATGCCGGTTTACATAATGAGTAGTGTTTTGGTTTTGGTGATGTGGGTGCTTGTTGCTGCGGTTCCTTGTCAGACAAGTAGCCTTCTCGTGGCGCCGTTACAACTTCCTAAGCATCAGAGCTGGGCTAGCGCCGCCTTGAATGTTCAGGAGAGGGTTGGTGAAGAGAAGAAAGGGAAGGAGAAGCGTTTTGGTGGGTTGATGGAGGAGATGCAGCGGATGGAGAGTGTTGGGTTGTCTTTGATGGAGTTCACGGAGAGGTTTAGGTTTCCGGCAGAGGCAGAAGTTGTGGAGATGGTTTATGAGATGGATGAGATTTGTCGGAGAATGGAAGTGGGTTTAGAGGATTTGCAGAGAGAAGTGAGGGCTGTGTTCCAGAGATTGGTGAGAATCAGGCTAGAGATTGTTTCTGTGCTTGACCAATAAATCTGTAAATCTTCAATGACAACATAATCTTTTTTTTTTCTCTTTTTTTAGATAACACATGTCTTGATGTGTATAATCCACAACTCGTATAAATACACACCATATTTGGTTTCTGGTATATGAAAACTGCAGAACTCTATTGTGACTAGAGATAATAGATGATTCATGGTGCTTTACTAAATCTATTCCTATTCTGCTTCCCTTAGTGTCTGAAGCAGGTGTGTATTGTTGATGTGTACTCTTCTGTCCGTTTGAATTTGTTGTGTTCTTTGCCACTGTCTTGTTTGGTTGTTTCTGTTGAAGCACTGATTTGAGAGGATATGAGTTCTTGATCTCGGATATAATGATTCTTAAGAATCGTACTTATTTAAATTAAAGTTGCAAGATGATGCAGCCATTTCTTTCAATGTATGCAATTCAGGATCTAAAGAAAATGTAGAGAGAGGGAAAAGACAAACCTCTAAAACTGTACAGAGAAAACTCATGTGGTAGTCTGATGTGGCTAATTCGACTTGAGCGGGAAACCAATTACATACTTAGTGGAATGATAAAACTTACTTTATAATCTCAATGGATTTGGTGTGAAGCAATGATAAAACAGGGGACAGAAGCTCTCAGGTGACAATAAGCAGATCTCAGGGTCTGTGTGTATCAAGACAGATACCGCAGTCATATGAGAGTAAGGAGTGGACTAAATTGATACAGGGAGCTCCTCTCATGCACTTAATTACCATGTTAATCAATCTGGGACAGTTCATCACAAGCTGCTTATCTATGTTCATCGCTTCCCTGTAAATACAAAGCAGACAAACAAATGTTAAAACTTGTTTAGTAGTTGTATTGGTTTAACAAAGCAGCAGCAAAGAAGCAAAGAGCATGCTTACATAAGTGTCAGCATCATTTCGTTCAGATAAGGAAAGCCTTCTCGTCCTCCTCATAGAAGCTTGACTATAAGAAAAGAAAGTAATGTACTAAGAATATTGGTCATTTAGCAACGTCGAGTTAGTGGTAAAAGGATTGCGGCTGTAACTTCCGCTACTTAGGTCCAACTCGCGGTGGGAGAGACTATTTACAATGCTTAGGTTCCCAGCAAAGAGGTGAAAACACTTTGTTTTTACCAAAAAAAAATATAGGTAATTGTTTTCATAAGACGCCAATACAGATGTCAAGTTTCAATTGATACAACAGGATATATTAAAACCTGAATTCCATGTGCCATTAGAACGTGGAAACATTCAAACCTGACTTTTAGAAGATGCTGCATCCTCCAACATACAGGACACAGTATATATGTAGTCTGTAGAACTATACCTCTTTAATTGTGTCTTTGTAGCACCGCAGTTGTTTTTTTTCTTCATGAAATGAATCGTAAGGCGGATTAACCTGCCCTTCAGTCTCGCTAACACCAACAGGATATCAAACTGAAATATCCAATTGCAGCCCAGCATCACAGGAGCATAAACGATGTAATATTTTCTTCAGCCAGTCAAAACCTCAACCACTTGGATCAAATAAACACACTGACCTATTCTAAAAAAACTGGCCCATAGAGGTAAAAGTATACTTCTTACTAAGAAATCAATCATCAGATACGGACATACCATTAGTAGTGTGAGCTTGGTTGCTTTAGTTAGGCCTTTCTTCTGGTTGAGATCGATATTGAACTACACATATACAAAGCCCTTCTCTTATATACTAAATCACAAATCAACTCACAAATAAAATTCTGACATGTAGAATTTATTTTTCAAATTAAAAATTTAAATACAGATAAATCAAAATACAATTGCGTATGTTTGTCTATTAACTATTTTCTATTTTTCCTATACAAAAAATCCCTGATATTTTTCCACTACTCCCATCTCCTCACGATATTTGGAGCAGTTTTTCTTTTTTTTTTTTTACAGAAAATTTAACTCACTTATTATTCTGGAAACTGTAATATTCCATTATTATTTGTAAGGGCTCAGCACCTAACTCTCTTCAAAGTGTGGTAAAAATTTCAAATCCCAACCAGTAGATCGAAAACTTCTATTGGCCAAAAGTTGCATAACAATAGTCTTCGAAAAAAATCCTTTCAAAGACTTGGGGGAAAACACATTTGTTATGGATGGCGGTTTGTTATGGATGGCGGATACGCTGAACGTACGCCAGAGTTGCCAAATGAACGTTAAAGTCCAAGTTCATAATTCTAAAAGCCTAAATTGTTCTTTCTCAAATTATAATTTCTGTCATTTGATTTTTTTTCATAAACTATTATCTCTTCTAATCTGTTTATAGCTTTCTTTTTTTGTTCTTACTTGTATAGATACAGGAAAAAGCTACATAATGCATCATAAAAAAGATAAGCTGTGAAGAAAATAAGTCAATAGCATTTTGAAAATAGATTAAATCAAAATTTTCTTTACGTATACATACAACCGTATACAACCGTAAAAGGCCTTAAGAGACATGAGATGTCCCACAAGAAAAAAAAAAGCGATGATAATTAGAGGGCAGTAAATGGGAGTTAAAAACACTCATGTAATAAGGGCAATGTCCAACGAGAAACACTCATGTCTACTCTCTATATGAAGACGTAATCTGATGAGGTTGGTAATCCTTTTTGGTGCTTATAGTTTTATAGAAATGTGGTGATGTTATTGTTAACTTTTTAATCGTTACGTAGTTATCAGATTTGTAGATTCTCTTAAAAACAAAAATCCCTGAATCTAGAAGGGAAATTGGACTGTATGACCATGAAAAAAGTATAATTCACTTTCTAACCAATATTCCTAACATTTATATATACGGTATTATCTTTTTATAATAATATTATATTGTCTCTTTTTCCCACCGGTGAAACCTGAGGAAAAATAAAAATAAAAATTTCTAATTAATATCTGGAAAAGTACAGCGTGGCTTAACTATCTTCACATCTTCTCTTTTTTACTTCCATTGGTAAGTTTGTAGAAGTTGACAGGTCTACGGCACCGATTTGCTCCACAACGTCACCTCCACCACATTCAGAGCGATTATTTGATTTCTCCTTCATAGTTTTCAACCCCATGCTTTTCTCCGCTTCTGAAATCGCTGGCCAGGCCATGGCGTGGAAGTTATAGTGGTAAATAGTAATAACCCATGCCTATTCCACTTCACAGCTTCGATTCATGTTAGATCTCTTCAACTTCTCAAAGTCGATTCTTCTCTGATCTCTTCACCTACCGTAAGTTTTCCGCTATTTACCTTTCCTTCTCTTCATCTCCTGTTATTTTATTTTCTATTTCGTAGTTACTGGGAACTAGGATTCTGTAATTGGTAAATTTATCATGTATTTTACGGATTAAATTTACAGATCTGTTATTAAAATTTGGCTCTATCTATCATGATTTAGGGTTTGGGTTTCCCCAATTGTTCTTTATCGTTGTTAAATCTAAATTTTGCATTTAGGATAGATGCATAGTAAATAGTATAGTAATATAGTTTGTTGTATGGAATAACATCTGTAATACAACTTGTCTGTGTGAGATCTCTTATGTCTATTTGATTTGAGATGGAACATAAAAACTATATATTTAAACTATTCTATTTCAGATGAAATCGATTGACAAACTATTCTACTTGAGACTGTATTGAATGATTTGTAACTTATGTGCTACCATTCTTTATCAACGACCGTACTGTTGAAATATAAAAATGCTATTTTCTATAAAAAATGTTATATTATCAGTGATTAGGATTTTGATTTAGTAATAACAAGTTTATCTTGCGTTTTAGTATTTTAGCATTTTAAGAACTAAAATGGAGTAAAATGACTATTCTATTCTATTTGTAGATGTTACATACTATATGTAGTACATAATGAGAAATTTGCATCATATTATATAGATCCTATTTGGGTTTATAGACCAGTGATTAGGGTTTAGATTTAGTAAGTAGTTTTTTTGTGTGTTTAGTATTTATGCACAATAAGAGCTAATAGAAATAGAGTAAATTGTTCATGCTATATTATTTATAAATGTTCCATCCTATGTATAGTAAGTATGAGATATTTATAACATATTATATAGATTATGTTTGAGTTTATAGATCAGTGATTATGGTTTTGATTTAATAATAAGAAGTTTGTCATGCGTTTTAATATTTAAGCATTTCAAGAACTATAATGGAGTAAAATGACTCTTTAATTCTATTTATAGATGTTCCATACTATATTTAGTACATAATGAGAAATTTGCATCATATTATATAGATCCTATTTGGGTTTATAGATCAGTGATTAGGGTTTAGATTTAGTAAGTAGTTTTTTGTGTTTTAGTATTTAAGCACAATAAGAGCTAACAGAAATAGAGTAAATTGTTCATGCTATACTATTTATAAATGTTCCATCCTATGTATAGTAAGTATGAGATATTTACAACATATTATATAGATTCTGTTTGAGTTTATAGATCAGTGATTATGGTTTAGATTTAGTAATAAGAAGTATGTCTTACATTTTAGTATTTAAGTATTTCAAGAACTATGATGGAGTAAAGTGACTCTTCTATTCTATTTATAGATGTTTTATATTATATCTAGTACATAATGAGAAATTTGTATCATATTATATAGATTATATTTGGGTTTATAGATCAATGGTTAGAGTTGAGATTTAATATGTAGGTTTTTTTGGGTTTTAGTTTTTAAGTATAATAAGAGCTAATAGAAAGGGAATAAATTGTTTATAATATACTATTTATAAATGTTTCATACTATGTATACTACCATATGAGATATTTGCAGCATATTATATAGATTATGTTTGGGTTTGTAGATCAGTAATTAAGGTTTAGATTTAGTAATTACGGATTTTTTTGTGATTTACATAACTAAACATTTAACCTAAACATAAATCAATTTATATACTAATACTCTATCTCATATGCTGCAATTTCCTTCCAACTTGTAAAATAATGTGTGTCTTCATTTTCATTTTGTTCTTCAGGTTTGTCATGGATAAGTTGGAAGGGTAAATAGTA